GTGCGTGTGCGTGTGCGTGCGTGCGTGCGTGCGTGCGTGCGTGCGTGCGTGCGTGCGTGCGTGCGTGCGTGTGTGTGTGTGTGTGTGTGTGTGTGTGTGTCGTAGCTGACAACACAATGCGTGAGTGGCAGTCAGGGACATTATTCAGAATAGCCTGCTCTTTACTGAAACATTGCCACATCACACCATTAAAAAAAAGTATTCACTCTCACTCACTACTAATCACTCAGTGATGCACGAAATGTTACTACAGTACACTGTATTTGGCTTGCCTGCATTGTGCTTGTTAGTCTGGGCACTGGGTGGCGCTGCTCTGCAAAGGAAGGAAGGAAGAGAAAGACAAAGAAATCTATGGGACTTGTCTAATTCCTGCTCCCGCAGAGTTTGTTGCGACCTATGGAACCGGTCTAATCCCTGCTGCAGTCTTATTTCATCTGATTGCACTGTTTTGTCAGAAGGTGTTTCGGAACTGTCAAATTCCTGCTTCAGTCTTTTGTTGTCATGTGGGCGTCCTGTCTATTTCTTGTTGCAGTGTTAAAGTTTGATATTTCGTAAAACTGTAGCATCTCCTGCTGCAGTGTTTTTCTGTAATCTATGGGAACTGTGGAACTCCTGCAGCGGTCTTTTGTGTAACATATGGGACCTGTCTAATTCCTACCGGCATCTTTTTTTTTTTTATACTGTATTGGACAAATCTAATTACTGCTGCAATGTTTAGTTTTGACGTTTCGTATCAGTCTAATTCCACCTGCAGAATTCTATTGTATTATGCGGCAGGTGTCTAATTCCTACTGCAGTGTTCCGTTGTGAGCTACGGGATTGGTGTAATTTCTTTTCTAGTGGTGTACGGATTCAGCCTAATTCTTCCATGTTCCTGTGTTCTTTTGTAAAGGATCTGTCTAATTCCATCCTCCGTGTTGTTATTTCCAAGCTTCTTAAAATCCCGTCTGATTGAATGCTCATTTGGTCGACTTGATGTGTTCCCAAGTGTGAATGTCGTGACGCCTACGTTGCAATAGCACCACGCTCCCCGTCGGCCATTTTGCGACAGATCGCATGACAAAAGCGTGTGCTGCATCAAAGGACACGCAAGACGGCGCCTGGCGGAGCTTTTGTCAATTTTTAGTCCTGGAATGTTGCTGACAAACGTCGTTATCGTCAGCACCACCCCAGCCCTCTCGCCATGGTAACGCATTCTTGATGCTTCAAGTGGTGTCAAGAAGTCTTTGTGGATATTCAAAGGAACCTCTCCTCATCTTTTCTCCACGGAATTTGAATTAGAATGCACACACATTCCCGCCTGGCAACACGGAGCTTACATTGGCTGCTGCTCACCTGACAATTTATTCAATCGGTATGGTCGTTGGTTGTTGTCACACAGATCATTCATTCTGCTGCTGACAAAGGAAGACGATTGTCTGTATTCACATTAGCCGTTTCTCAATCGGCGTTCATTCTTACATCCTTATGATCTGAGTTCTGTTGCAATCGAAAGTGCGCACAAAGCAAGAAAGCACGGAAGGTCGTCCTTGTCTGCTAGCTTAATTTTAAACGACGCTTGCATCAGGTGGTGACTTGCGAAGACTTGGCTGGGAAAATGTCCCAAGATGCATTTTATGCTGCAATCAAAATGGCTGATACGACACGGGGAGGAGAGGGCACTCGTAGTAACGTAACCATCACTTTGAATTCACAATAAATTCACGAAATGATCTCATTTCGTGTAATTTAAGATGACCGCCGTGAGTCTGATGCAGAATGGGGAAGAAAGATGGGAAAACCATTTATCATCAAATGGCTTGATTCGTTTCGTCTAGACATCCGTTGGTTCTAAAACTGCCTTAAAGATGGTGATTGTTAGCATGTCAATGACCTTTTCCATTGCGCCTTACCATTCAGCTAACATATCCCTGATAATTTGACGTCTAATACCCCCCAACAAGGGATATAATTTCCCACCAGATGCCACTCAACTTGCTTCAACAAAGTTCCCTGACACCCAAGTAGTGAATCGTGAATATGCGGAGGAATATTCTGGCATGCTGTGTGTGTGTGTTTTTATGAAATGCTAAATAAATAAAGTCATTCAATGGAGCAATCGAAGCAAACGGAGAACACACATGAAAACAATCCAGCATGACGTCACTGGCCGTCCAGCTCTTTAGCATGGTTAGCATTGTTAGCATTGCTCACTGAGGACTTTGTGTTGTCAGCTGTGTTTGCGTGTGACAATTCTATCAGTCCTCTTTTGTTCTTTGCTCCGAGCGCCTACACGGAGAACAATAGCACACGGGAACAACAAACACGCCAAGAACACCGGGACACCTGTCAAAGGTGCCAATCGGTCCATATCATGAAATAGTTGGGGTGGGGGTGAACTCCAAGTCCAACTTCTATGATGTTGGAAGGTATCGATCGAGTTCCCTTTGTTATGACATACGTCATCACTCTAATTCTCATTAATTTGATTTCAGTCAATCACCCCCATGTTTTGATGTGGCATATTGGGAAACGTGCAGTCGCTGCTCCTGTGTTCTTTTGCAACATACGGAATCAATCTCCATAATTCCTTTTTGGTCTACGTCCTGCTCCAGTGTAATAAATATGACAGACGAGCCACGTGTCGTGGACATGTAGTGGACCATTTTTCTCTCGCCGTCTCGTTTCCGAGCAATCCATCAGATGGATCGATAACGTGAGCGGCTTCTTCTTCTTCGTGCCTTCGCCATCCTCGGCGCCATTTGTCAGCCTTCCCCCAGTGCCAGATGTCAGCGATCAATATGGCGGCGATGATTGGAAGAAGACTTACGGAACGGAATGCAGAATATAAATGAGGCACTAAACTCGCATGTTGGAGAAGGTCCAAAATGATTTTTGAATGGCTCCCAAAAATCAGGTCAAATCCCAAGCGACCAATAAACTGGCAAAATAATTGTACTTGATTGGTCGCATCTTGGTCACATTTTTTGTCCCGCCAGCCAAGTCAGTTGCACCCAGCTCGGGTGAAACGCCAACTGAGCAGACAACGGGTCATGGTGGCGGTGGCGGCGGCGGTGGTGCTGAACTCCAAATAACCCCAAAAAGAAGAAGAAGAGGAGGAGGAAGATAAAGAGGAGGGGGTGACACACTTCTCGCAGCGGAGCGATGACCGACTAACAACCCCACGAGTTTTCATATTCTTCACCTTCGATGAAATAATCCAGTCAATGATTTTCCATGGTGCTTGTTCTGCTCGCTTGTCAGTTGGAGTCTGTTACACCTGACTGGACTGGTCGCCATTCACGGTCAGGGAACATACTGACAAACAACAAACTGGTCGCCAGTCAATGTCAGCTCCCAAGTTTGTGTGTGAAAAACCGAGGTGGCTAAATGCTGCATTTGTTGTTGCATGAATTTGCCTTTTAATCTGTGATTTATTAGGCGTAGAAAGATGCTAACCGCTAACAAGATGACGAGCGAACGAGCGCGAGTGTTGAGTGTCGTCGCCGGAACATTCCGGCAGTTAATGATTGACGGGCGCGGCCAGCGTGCACAATGTCAACAGGATGAGACCGCAGCGAGCAAACGTTGTTATCGGTTAACTCGAGCGTGATGTTGACTTTCATATCTGGCGTTGCCGCGGGAAAATTTTTGCATTCTGCCAATCACATCAAACCAAGGAACTCGTTGCCCCCATGTCTTCACAAAATATCACATTGAAATGATTTGTTTCCAAAAATGACAGTGATATCATTTAATCTGCATGACTTACAGTATGTTTGCTCAGGGCCAACAATGGGGCCCTCGAAAGTTGCCACACCAGCGCAAAGCCACTGTCCACATACTCATGGTTGACAACGAGGCACTCTAAAGTTGCCACAGCAGCTTGACGACCCTCTCGACAAGCTGGCACTCACATTGTATT